GATTCAAATTAATTAAATTCTACATTCGTGAATCAATTTTATTGTTCTCATACAATTCAATTATTTATTTGCGTGCTGTTTAATAATTAATATTCAATTAAATATATGTTAAAAAAGGAAAAAGTAGGGTACTATTGAAATAGAGTAATATTATTCATCTCCACTGGGGATGAAAACACTGTCTACGTGTTGTTAATGTGGCATTAAATGATAGGTGAAATTAAATAAGTCATTTAATTTCACATTTCATTTAACCTATCATTTAAAACCACATAGGCTGTGTTTTCATCCCTACTGAGGATGAATAATATTACTCATTAAAATAATTAAAATTGTAGTATGGGTAAAATCGTCCAAAAAATTATTCTCACTTGATGCGATATCTAATATATTATATATAAATAAAGAAAAGTAAGATTTCACAAACCTCACCCATTCGTGCGAGCCCAAGAAACAGAGACATAAAAAGTAGATAATGCCATGACTTTGATTGAGGTTGACCATCATTATGGCCTCACTAATCTAAATACTTTTCACATTGGTTTACTTAGCAAACTTAATTGTGATTAATTAGTACAATACCAATGTGTAATCACCATATGTTACCTAGTTTTCTTCCAAATAATATTTACCCTTCTAACGAAAGTTAGATAGATCCCGTCTGAAAGGACTTTTGTTTTTGTTTCTTCTTCTTGTAAAAAAATTCCCCGGGAAGCAACTCTTGTCTTTCCGATAATCCTGCCAAACGAACTGATAGAGGAATTTTTAAATATATTTTATTTATTTTGTTCCACTTGATTTCCATGAAGGAAAAAAAAAATGAATGGGTACGGTTACTTTTTTCTTTAACTTAACTTGTCTTTTTCGAATCGATGATACCCTTTAGAAAGTTGTTGCTTTTTACTAGACAATTTGTTATTGCTTTGTTCTTTAATTAGAACACTGAACCTATTCCATCCCTTTCAAATCAGTTATCTATAAAAACAAGGCTTAGATTTAATCTGGCCTAAAGTCATTATTAGTGGTCAAATTATGATGGCCGCTCTCCTAATCTTTCCTTAATTTCCGGGTTTGAAGTCCTATGAATCTCCCTTTCTCCAAGAGAGAGAATTAGTGTTTTCGAGATCTAAAATAGCAATATTTGAGAGTTCTTCTGACAAAATATATTCTAAATTATTGTATTTTATGTTATATAGGTAAAACTCAATGGTTGAACGAGGAATAGAAAGAAAGAAGCGAAAAATGGTGAAAATAGCAAAATTCAAAGTTTGAAGACCAAATTACAAATTCAATAATTGATTCGAACCATAAGATGATACTTTGAAAATTGTTAAGAGACAATTGGATGGAATTATAATTCAAAAAGGAATGAGATATGATCAAAATATTATCAAAATCAATTTTCAATCTCACAAGTTATATTCCAGATTTTTAGTCGAAAATTGAGATTCATTTTTGGCATAGCAAAATGTTAGAATTGAAAAAATTATATTTCTATCAAAGTTGTAGCCATTTGAACTAACTTTTCAACGCACTTTGAATCGTCTCAAACGGATATAGGTACAGAAAGTTATGGACAAAATACTAATTGTGACGTAGAGACAAAATCTGTGAGCGAAGACAACTTTCCTTATTCGATTGGAACTCTTTTGGAAGTCAATTTGGACGTGATTTTTAACCAATTTTCGACTCCTACAAATACCTAATAGCAGAATACATATGGAGGACCTCTCACATACATCTCGTACTCCAATATTCATTAATTATTATCATTAAAGGGGGGAGAATTCATTATTTTTGTGAGAGAATTGAAGAAGATTTGCAAGAATTCAATCAAGTGAAAATTTAAACCTAATTTTTGGGCAAAGAAGAAAAGGCACAAGTGGAGATTCATCAAGAAACCATTGAAGAGATCCAAGATTTCAAAATTCATCATCTTCTTCTCACTTTATCAAAAATTCGGGTTATATCTTTTCATTTAAATATGATTTCTTGTAATTTCGATATGCTCGGCTAATTTTATACATTGCTGGATGAGATGAACACTTATTATGATATTTTTAGTTTTTAATTAAATTTTTTTACTTTAATTTGATTTGATTTGTGGATGTTTATTATCGTTTTATCGTTCTTTTCAATTGCTTGATCACCAATTGAATTGTCAATGAATTTTATTGTTATCGAGGGAGACAATATAATTTAAGCACATTATAATAAAAATTGTAAGGTTCAATAGATGATAGATATATACACATATGCTTTATATGGTTTCAATGTGTGTTTTAGTGTTTGTTAATGCATTTATCATGTTTGCATCTTTCATTGAGAAATAGAAGTGTCACATGAGGGAAATATATTTGATTGCTATCGAGAGAGGATTTCAATTAAATTGGGAGCATTGATCAACATGAATGATTTCAAATTGTCACTTTAATTGTTACACTAAAAATGGAATAACAAGTAGAATTCGATATCTTAGCAATGCATCTCACATATTTGAAAACACATTTGTTTACTTTCATTAGTTTAGGCCATGTTTGAACCACATTAAAATTTCCATTCTTCTACTTATTTTCAACCACATATTCTTTAATAAAATAATATTTTCCATCACATCAATAACTTTTCCTTCTTTTTTGATCACACATTATCCATCAATCTATTATTTCAAAATATATTTTTCCAAAATAATGTGGCTCAAACACACACTTAATTGATAATTTAAGTATTAATATAAAAAAAATCAAAAAATTTGTTTGTTGTTCAATTAAAATTGCAATTAATTTTAACTCGATCAAACACGTAGTCCTTGTGAGTTCGACACTCTATTCACTACTTTATTACTTGTTCACAATCTCGTTCACTTGTTGGAAATCAAATGATCAAGTGTACTTCCAATTATTTCCTCCTCAACCTTTACTGAAGTCGGGATGTAAAGTTGGATTGATGCATAATTTTTTGGTCAATATAAATTAAGCACTGTTTGGTTTTAATGAGAATTAATTTTTTCGGAGATTTTGATGAAAGTTAGTCAAATATGTGATCAAAAAACTGATGAAAGTTGTGAATCGCCTGAAATTTGTGATTAAAAGTGAATTTGAAGAAAAAATGAAGATCAAAACTAAGAGAACAAAAAACAATGTTCCCAGGGCCACCATCGTTTTCGGTCATCATTTTGTACAAAAAGAGAAGGTACGTGGTGGTACAGGCCACCTATACTTGGCCCAAAACAGGGGTTGGGCTTCAAACAAACTGAAGACCAAGGGCAAGTGTGAAGTATAGACCAATTCAAAACTCAGATAATAAGTTTAAATTTTCAAATATAAGGTGATAGCTAAATAATTAAATATATTAATGTCACAATTATAAATTAATGTTCATAGTTACATACTTATATGTCACAACTTATTTATTGGTCACATATTATCAAATTAATTGATCACAAATTATTTTTCAATCACAAATTAAAAATATTACAAGCCACAAAATTTATTTATTGGTCACAAATCACAATTTTCATAGGTCGCAACCAAATAGTTGGATACATACACCAAACACTTCACCCCCACCCTCAATCTCAATCCTACCAATACTTAGTTAAAAATCAACAATACAGCCAGTCACAAACACTTTTCATCACATCCCTCCACCTCCATCAGCAACACCGACACCACCATCAACACAATCGCCACCGTCAAATCCACCACCAACAAAAACCATCTCTCCAAATGACTTTCAAATGGGTCTGAATCTCGAAGTCGAGCTGGCAACCCAACTCAAGCTCAGATCCGATGAACCAATCAACATCATATGCGCTTCTTATCTTCGTGAACGACTCTCCGATTTGGATTCGTCCGCCGCCAACATTGTCACTTCCTTATCACCGGAGCTCCATCGCTGCTAGTCGGTCTCTACTTCCAAATGCCAAGCTTCCTGTAACAACTTCACCGAGCAGCAGCGCAAGTCATGGGAGAAGAGATTGGGAGCGACGGCGGAGGCGGTTCCGACCGGTGGGTAGAGAGAGAGAGAGAGAGAGAGAGAGAGAGAGAGAGAGAGAGAGAGGGCGATAAAGTGAGAAGATAGAGAGGTATAGAAATGAATTAGGATTTGAGAGTTTTGATTGGGTAGGAGACGTGGTTATATATATTAATTTATAATATAATTATTAATATTAAAATATTAAATTGTCACCTGATTTTTTATTAAATATACTTTATATTTGATTTTTGAAGTGTGATTTTTAAATACGAGCTCTAGTGTAATTTCCACTAATCAAAAACCACACAAGTCTGAACTTTTATCTTGCTAAACCGTACTGGGCCAACAACAGACAAGAAATGTGTAATTTCCCCTAAATATAAAAGTAACATAAGTAGAAACTTTTTGTCCCTAAACCTAAAAACAGAATTTGAAAAACATTTGAAGGATCAAATATTACACGCGCATCAACCTGGCCTAGGTGCACTAGAGCCCATTTTCTAGGCAAATGCAAACTATCTAAGCCAAATGGTTGTTTTGGGACATTACATTTCTAATCTTCACATTTTGGAAGATTTTCCTCTAGGCTAACCGAGCTGTAAACTTTAAAGAAGTTCATAGTACACTAACGTTAGTGCTATCATTCTTTGTGGAGAGCCATGCACTTATCCTTCAAACGTTGTTTTAAGCACATACACAAACATACAAATGTATCTAGTCAAGGATCTGCAACTTTTCAAAATGAAGCTTGTCTCTTGCCATCTTCAAATGCCAACATTATTATAGTCGAGGATTCCAATATATGCAAAATCTAGAGACTGAATTGATTTACACATTTCATTCACTTGAATGTGAGTGTTTCTATTTAATTGAGTAGTAAAACAAGAGGGAAACCAAGGACAATTCTGGTGATATTCAGCTGTCTATACCAAAATATGTTTCTATGATGTAGGAACAATCATAGAGAGGTGTTATCATGAAGGAGCAAAAGTAGAACAATTACAGATATTACAACGTTAAAGTCACCTGCCAAAGCATCTCAACAATGAAGAAGTCAAAGAGGACAAAATAAACTTCAATCCAGCAGATCCTCCAGGAAAGTAGGAAATAGCGTAGTATACCAGTGCCAGCACCTACAATTCAAAGTACATCACCAGATCACATTAATATCTATAGTACCGTTGCATTCATCTCGACAAGGGAATTTGAGTTTATTCAGAACAAATATATGAGAAATCAATAGTTAATATTAGAACTGCTCAATAGCCCTAAAATTGAAGAACATTATTATATAAATAAACAAAAAATAACATATAAGCGTAAGTCTGAATACCTGAAGCACTGAAAAGAGCACAGTTAGAATATAGCTATGGAGCACCATAGCAACGTAAATGGTTCCCATCATGCTGCCTATGAATGCCAATGTAAAGGGGAGTCTCTGGTAAGACAATGGGAAGAAAAGTAAGAGAAGAGAACGGGATGTCTGACCACCAATACAAATAAGAAAGTAATTTGAGTACCTCCTTCGATGACATATGGGCAAACTGATTCGTTGGACCTCTAAGGGCAAAGAATGACCCAATAATGAAGGAGCATCCAACAGTAAAGCAGATGGCAAATTTCTGAGGCACCACTACGATGACCGGAAGAAATAAAGTAAACGCAATAAACAGAAAGAAGACTCCACTTGCCAGGAATAAGCCAAAGTACATGAGCGCTTTTCCTGATGGGATATGACTAGTGGCAGACTGAAAATTTCCTGGTAAATCTCTCACTCCTTTCGAAACCCTGATATTTTTTTAACAAAAAAATATTATGAAGAATACTGTCCAAGTAGCCTACAAATTTACATTTACAGATAGAAAATCAACTAGTTAATATGATGATCGGAGATAAGAGAAATTTTTTTGCAATACTAAGGTTTGGAATTTCAGGATAAATTTTGATTTATACAAGTTCTTAAGTAATCATGCATATCTAAAAGCCTATCCAACACCCGGGTTTACTAAGACAGTGGAATCTCAAGATGTTAGGTTGCATTTGGCCTCCATGCAATGGAGGTCTCATAACTGGAATAAGAGATGGCACAGTTCTAATTGGATTTGTTTTCCTCTAATTCAAATTTCAAGGTCTTAGCTCCAAGCTGTCAAAAGTAATGTTGTTGGATTTCAGAACAAACAGTAAACCCTTCAAGATTGCTTATTAGTCTACCCTGTCGGCCACCTCTAAGCTATTCTGAAATAGTACCCTAGCACAAACATACTCTACCCAATTCTAGGGTTTCACTACCTTTCATGTCCATTACACCACTCTAGCACTTGCTTTGTACAAGAAATCCTCAAAAAGTTTTAGACATCCACCAGTCCATATATCAATGTTATATAAAATAAAATAATTATTTATTAATTTCTGTTAAGATAAAATTTAAATAACATACATGTGGTCTTGTCTAACTTAAGCTTTTAGATGTTCAAGTCTCGCTACCACCTATTTCTTTAAAATTGTGCAAACGCAAATATGCCTACATATGATGTGGTGTGTTGATTATTTAGATGATATATACGTGGCTTATCTAATAGCTTAAAATTTTAGATCAAGGGGTTCAACAATAACCTAAAGAGGCTAATTATCCAATGTCTTCATTTGAAACGCCCAGATGTGCACCTAAAGCAGAAAATGCGTTTCCAACATGGTCTTCCAACAGAGTCCAATAATGTGGCGATGGATAGCCAATTGACTAAGTAACTTCTACATGCTAGTCTTGTAATTAACGTGAAAGTTTATGATAATGAAGATAGTACAAATGCAAATTTGATGCAGAAAAGATGGTATGGTATAAAATGACACATCAGTGCCTCCACGTGCATGAAACTTACAGAGTGTTTGGCATAGCTAATTTCTCAAAAAGAAGCCAAACCAGACATGCTCTTAATCAAATGGCACAGATGATAAATGACACGGGAAACAAATTTATACTAATTCAATCACAACATAAGTTTCAACAGATGCTCCAATTGCAGATCTTTTCCCTATTGTTAAGATTTGGGGTCCATGTACATTGGTCTATGTTTTCAGAGACGGGGGATTTTATCAACACCTATCCTTTTTAGATTTTTAATTAGTTACAACTTTAAGAGAAAAATGCCTCTAGCAGTATAACATTTGGGAAACTCTTTTTTCATTTTTAATTTAGAACACTCTTGCATCATCCAATTAGGTCAAAATCCCCAAATTTACTAATTGAATCAATCCACAATTCCAGTTCTCTACCCTTCCGCAAATTCAATGCATATTGTTTTAACCGGAAAAAAACGCTTTTAAATGCATTCAATTCTCGATAAAACGAAATATTTAAGACACAGGAGATCTGTATCATACACGTCGAATGTGCCGGAGACGGTGTCGTTGGCGGACCTGACCGCAGATTCTAGATCGAAAACTGCGGCAAAGGAGCTGCTGCTACTTTCTTCTGATGATTTGGTAGCTGCGTATGAATTCCAATCGGCCAGCAGAGAAGATGGTGGTTGCGACGTCGTTTGCAATTGCGAATTTTCATTATCGCCGCCGCCTACTGAAAACCACTTCTGCATGCTAATCGATATCGTGAGGATTAAGATTTTCAATTCTGCTATTCTTCAGAAAAATGATTTGGGTTGTCCAAAATTAAAAGTATGCAGAATAAATCACTGCACCGAACGGAAATTATTGTTAATAGAATTATACCAACTGTTAATTTGAGTTTCGTAGTAATAAAGCAAGGATCACGTGATGGGCTCGTGTATACTGTATATTTTCGGGTTAATTTAATCCTGGGAAAAGTGCAAGCACGGACCAATCATTTTATTATGTTGCAGACTTGATTCAAACATTTTATTTGTATCACTTACGATATCAAATCTTTAAAAAAATTCGCACCCGAATCCCAAATGAATAGAAATTGTTAGTTCATCTGTTAGTTGACCTAAAGTCAACAATTTGACCAAATTTTCACAATTTTTTAAGGAATAAAAAGACAACTTTACATTTTTTCATTAAAAAGAGTTAAAATAGAAGAACTAAATTTTTTTTAAAAAAACACTATTCATCTTCTCTACTCACCTCACACACACTCCCATCCACCCCAAAACTAGAAACTGCCCACTCCCGACCATCGCCACCCATCCACATTGTCCATCGCCCAGGGGTGAAGGGAGAGGGGGGCTGGGATGGGCTATAGCCCAGCCTTGCCTCCAGCCCAGAAGCAAATTCATGGTGAAAAGTAGGGGTGGGCAAAAAATCGACCGACCTAACGAAACCGACCGAACCGACCCAAACCGACCGGTTTGGGTCGATTTTTTGCCATTTTTGGATGGGTTTCGGGTTTTGGATTGGCTAATCGGGTCGGGTCAGGTCGGGTTATGGGTTAACAACCCAAACCCGATCCATACCAACCCGACCCAACCCGAAACCCAAATTTTTGAAAAAATTAAAAAAAAACCCTGTAAAAACAAAACCCTAAAAAGCCTTCTTCACGCTCAATCCCCCCATCTCTCAAGTCTCTAGTCTCTGCTCTCTTGCTCAAAAGAATGCTAATCTATGGCAGATCTATGGTGGACATTACTAAGGCCATGGGTGCTCAATTTGCTCCCATCTTTTCGCAGCTTTTTACACCTTTGATGAAATTTACAGTGAGTGAAAGATGCTTACTGTATTGCTTCTTAATATGAATCGCTGCACTTGTTTTGTTTCATTTCTCACTGGTTTCTGTAATGGCAATTGCA